TCCCAGTTTACTTAACTGATATACTGAAAAGAGAATTGTGGTTGTACCGAAAGGCCCCTACATCCCTTCCCCTTTTTTCCTGAGAGTAAAAACTGCTGACAATGTGGAGTATATATTTCATGACCTTTATGCCTATGTCATATATATATATATACACATACATACAGACACGTATATGAGAAATCTAAGTATATGTGTGTATATATATACTTTATTGAAAAATAAAGCCATGCTATATGTCTTCTGAAGCTCGGTTTATTCACTCAGGTGTATATCATAAACGTCCTCCCACTCCAGACTCACGCGGTCCTTTCAGATAGAGGGGTCTCCTGATATACAGGTTTGGTCTCTTGTGCAAGGACAACTTTGGTGGGAGAGTGCTGTGGACAAGGCCTTGGGCCACGCCGAAACGCCGGCCCTTAGTGCCCACAGCTCGCCTTCATTTGCCGCATCATTGTCTTGATGGTGGACACTTAAGTTTTCTCCAATTTCCACTGTCAGAAAGTATGTTTGACTGGCATCCTTCTTGTACAAACATTCCTGTGATCTTGTATGAGTATTCATTTAGTTAAGGATTCTGAAAATTTAGTCCCTGGATGTGACAATTACATACATCACAGGCTCCTTTCAAGTGACTCTAGAAATTCCTTCTCCTGTGGGGAATGAAAAGATGTAAAATAACTTATGTAACCAATTCTCTATTGCTGGATATGATTTCACTTCAGCTTTTCTTCCCACCATTGTATACAGTGCTGTGTAAATGCTCTGATGAGTACATCTTTTTGAACTGATTTTTTTCTAAACGAAACAATTCCTAAAAGTGGAGTTGAGTCTGTGTGTACACACGTTTTTCAGAGTTTACATATCCATTGACATGTCATCCTCCAAAAAGATCTCACACAGTTTTTTCTCCCACAGATGGACACTAGCTAGAATATATTTGAAAAATGTTTGGCAATATGGTGAGCCAAAGTGCTTTTTCATTGATTTAGTTTGCATTTGATGACCAGTGAAGTATTGAGCATTTTTCACTCATCAGCCATCTGACTTTTAAAAAGTGAATCATCCCTTTTGTCCTTTGCAAACATTTAAGTGAGGGAGCTTCTGGTTGCTTTGTGACAGCTCTTTGTATGTTATCAACATTAACCACTTGTCTTCACCAACATGTATCACAGAGCTTTCTCTTGTCATTTCTTGCCTTTCATTTTGTTCCGTAGATTTATTTTTGTTGTGGCCCAAAATAAACTAAAGATAGTAAATGTCTTCTTTTTGGTTTTATACCTGATATTATTCTTAGAAATACTTTCTTATAATGGTATAAATCTCTTCTGTAGGTTTTTTAATCTCTAAGATGGAGATGATAATGGTACTTGTTATAGTGAGGAGAAGTTGAATTAATATGAGCAAAGGGTTGTATTTTCTGTTATTAGTACTTTCTAATATTTACATCACTTTCTGTAATTTTTCTTGTGGTCAATATGACTGGAATAGAATTTCTTTTTCCAGGTGATTCTCTGATTGTCCCAGGACAATTATTGAATTCATACTTTGCTCTTTGATTTGAAATCCCACCTGTAAAAAATACTTATGTATACTAT